ATTTAAGTGTTATATAATGGATCTTGTCCTGCCATTGGTCTTTTTGCTGTGGCTAGGAGCTGCTCTGGAAGGTTATGCTTTGTCATTTGAGTGCTTTTCCTGTGTTTGTATCTTTCTACTGATACTAAGTTTTGTCTCTTTAGTGAAAAAGGCAGAATATCACTGAAAGACTGACTTGATGAACCATGTGAAACAGCCAGGAGAGTAATAGTAATGTGATAAGGAACTGAACTGCTTTGTTTGGAAGTGTAAAGTGGAGGCGTTCACTATAAACAGACTAAAATGAATACATATGTTCTTCTAGTTTATAAAAGATTTATAAGAAGTCCAGAAAGCTGTGAGGGTGTATGCTGGTCTTTACAATATAAATTATCTGATCTATTTTGATCTGTACTGACCAACACACCCCCCCTACCCATCTGCCTCACTGAATGACTTAGATATTTCAGATTTAAACTTGCCCTTGGGCTTATTCCAGATCATCAATTGCACAAGTCTCCTGTTGGCTTTGCTCTTGAAAAGGCAACTGGCCAGCCCATGGTACTAGAAGTAGCTGTTGAGCTCTGTTGTCTGGGTTAGGGTTAATCACAGCAGCTTTCTTCCTTTGGTGCTGAGTCATCAAGGGGAAAAAATGTAAGCTTGGCAGTAAAATATGTATGTGCTGCATTGTAGATTTTCAAGCTTGCCTTTGCAAATTAAAACCAGAAGCGTATTTTATAGAGAGAGCTCAGAAAGCTTGAAATGGCTTTTCTCCTCTTCAATAAGCTATTTTATCCATAATCTTAAATAGAAGCTGTGCTGCTGAAAGGACTTTTGTAGCTCTAGTGGAATAGTTAGAGTACAAAAATAAACATAAAAAATTGAAAAGGCTGTTCTGGGTCAGGAAGAAAAAGGTCCCTCTGTACCAACCTGTCGGTGGATGGGACTTTGAGAGGAGGTGACACTGTCTTCCTTTGAGCCCAGGGAAACCTTTACACAAAAAAATTGAAAAATTTTAGACTCTTTCAAGCACAGAAGAAGCAGCAATTGAAGCCTGCCAAGTGAATTGGGAAACCTGAGAAACTCTTTGTATATCAGCCCCTGTCATTTCTCTTATGAAAATGAAGAAAGGAGTGGCTGAACTCTTCTGGCATTGCCAGAGCTTAGAGAAAATGAGCTGTCATGGGCAGGGATGGGGATTTTCTGGTGATTTCTCTGTGCAGACCCAGGCCAGTGGGTGCAAGGTTGCAGGAACAGATCGTACAGCTGCAGCCTGGAGCTGGCCTTGGGAGCTTCCTGCTGCTGGCTCTCCAGGCAGGCAGGCTCTGGCCCAGCTACGTGTATCCACACTTATTTATGTAAGCACACATTCTGCAGAATTATCCTTGGCCCCTGCAGAGCTGCACCCTCCAAAACATATGTAAGCATTGGTGTTAGGAAACACTGGGAAGGTCCAAACACCACATCAGCACACATATTTAAAGCTGGCTATAAAGCAAGGTTTGGTATAAACCAGACCTTTTCTCTCTTGATTTATGTATACTGACTCCTGATGACCTGAAATCTCAAGCTGTTTCAGTCCTGGGTGTTTATATATATACATGGGTCATGTTTATAGGTATACATGGGTCATACAGCAGCTTGCATGATGGGGAGAGGTGGCCAGAAGAAGTAGCATGGATGTCTTTAATAAGGAGAGACAGAGAGAAAATGCCACAGTATGCTGCAATAGTGTGAGGCTTAAATCTAATTTTAGCTTAGATCTAGATTTAGGTTAGATCCATGTCACTATAGGACACGAAACAAAACTATGTGGACACTGGAATCTCCAAAGTAAAAAGAAGGATGTTTAATTTCTGACTCCAGCATTTATAGATTTTCAAAAGTGACAGTGGCTTGGAGGATGACAGTGCCACCTCTCCAATGACACTGGACAAACCATCAGTCCATCAAATTTCTCCTTCTCCAGAAAAGAATGCAAAACAATAATTATTTAGAGAAAAGTGTATGAGAAAGTTCATTACAAGAACATCAGAAAGCTTAGAAGAACTTAGAAGAACAGGGTGACAGATCCAGGTTTAGGATCCAGCAGCAAGGAGCTGCTTTTGCTAATCAGTGAGTGAGTCTTGGTAGCTTTGAGTTTGTAAGGGGGATCCTGGATCACAGGTAGTGGAAAAGCTTTACCCACCAAGCAGAGGTGTTGCAGAATTACCTCTGCTTATTACATCCTGAGATGAATGATTTCAGTTGCAATGGAAAAGATTTATATGGATTTGGTACCTCATCTAAAAAATAGATTTATCCTCTTCAGTCAGCATCTTTGTTAATGAGCACTGGCCATGTTGCTTAATAGATTTCCTCTCCCTATATAGATATAATAAAAATATCAAAGTGTGGATGACATGTAGCACAGTCTGAAACCAGAGCTGTCTTTCCCTTTCCTGTGCTACCATCTCCTCCTGTTCACAAAAGGAGCCAGTCCTCAGGTGAACCCTGGGACAGCATATCAGTGGAATTTCACATCTCTTCCATCAACTATCCATTGCTTCCTGGTGCCTCTCCCGGCCAGCTGGGCAGAAAGAGGCATCAGCTGAAGGCAGGAAGTCTGCTGCTGCTTGGGGAGCTGGGGCAGGCAGAGGCAGCACCACCTCCAGACCCTGCCTGCTGCATTTTCCCTTTGGTTTCCTCTGCTTGCTCCAGTGTGTTGCCAGAACACCATTTTGCCCCAGCTGAATAGGCAGAATTCTGAGATGCATTGAGAACAGGGCTATGCCACATCTCAAACTGACTGATGGCTAATAGCACTCCTGCACAGTCAAAGTGTTTGGGGAGACTGTGTGTGCCTCAGTTTCATTATTTGATCATTGCAGGTCAGATACAGAAACTAACAGGACATTTGTAGGTTGGTCCTGGAGCCAGCAGAGGGGGAAATGCCTCTTACCTTTGAGGAAATGTGAGCAGCTGTAGAAAGACCATTCATACTCCCCAAATACCCCACAAAGAACTGTGCTCAGCACATACAACCCTCTAGTCTAAAATAATAGCTACAATACATTAATTTTCTGCTCAGAAGAGGAAAAAAAAAGGTGTCAAATATTTCTCATCCACCCCTCAAGGTAACAAAGGGGATTCCTTGCTAATAACCCTGGTGATAAATGGAGATAGTGTCACTGTTACTCTCTTTGTTGGGACGTGGCTAAACTCAAGCCAGTCCTCCCCACACTACATTTTCCCCTCTGTAAGGAATGTTTGGCTGGCTCCAGACTTATGTCCAAGGTCTCTCAAATGTGAGTGTGTTGATGTTAGTATATAAGACCATCCAGATTCAGGGGGCAGTAACATCCAATTTTATCAGCAGGATTAATTGCTGGAACAAGAGATCATTTCTTTCTCTCTCCGAACTGGCATTGTACAAAATGCTATTCCTTGATTATCCCCAGATGTAGCACTGTATGCAGTATCTGGCTGAGATGAAGCTTTTTTAGAAATGCCTTGACCTTAATAACTAACTCACAGAGGGGATTGTGCCTAGCTAGGGGAAACAATGAAATCCTATAATGGATTCATCACTGTTGATGAACCAGGTATTATTTAATGCAATTATCATAATGTACTGAGCCAGGAAAGGAGTTTGTATGGATATAATTTTTTCTAGCTTGCTGCTTAACAGAACTTGTTGGTGTTGGGGATGGGCTACTTCTGCTAGTTCTGATGCCTCATTTATTTTATGAGGTAATGTGGCTCAATTACAATCCATAATATGGAACCAGACTGATTTCCAATTAAATGTCTACCTCCAATATAAAATCCCAGGGTTAATTTTGTTCTCATTACAATGACTTTATTTTGGCAAAAGAATGATCAACTCATTAGCAACACATATGCAGATGATTACGTTTAAACAAATATGCCAGGAGTAGAAGTTTAACCTCTTTAGCAGGAAAAAAGGAAAATGTAATTAATTTGGTCTTGTGAGGATAAATGCTCAATTTACTGACCAAGAAGCTGGGATGCCTGTCCCCCCAGTGAGAGCAAGAAGAAATAGCAACAGAAGAGATCCCCAGTACACCTCAAGAAGGGTGAACCTGGTGGTGTTCAGGCTGGCACAGAGTGATTTAGCTCCTATGAGGCACTGGTGAAACCAGCTCCAATACCTTGGCAGAAATATGTTTCTTTAGCTGCCAGTATTGGAGAAGGACAGGACAGAATTATTGGCTACAGGAGCAAAAGAAGCAACTGATGACCAATTGATGGTCACCAAACCATGCTCCTTCAAAATCAAGAGAGCATCATTTATTTGACCCAGTAAACAGAAGGCAGAGGAGATCTGTTGGCTCTTTGCTAACACAGTGTGAAGGAATGCACCAGGGAATGAGAGAGCTACTTAAGCTAAAGGACAATGCTGGCACAACAACAATGGAAATAAACTGGCCACAAATACTTTTAAACAGGAAATTAAAAGGCAATTTCTGGTCGTTAGAAGAGTGATCTTTTGGAAAAGCTTTCCTGTGAGAGTAGTTGGGGAGGAAAATAATTAGCTTTAAGATATTATTAAAAGTGTGATAAAACCCAACTGCTAGAGATACAATTAAGTAGGATGAGGAATGAATGAAGTCCCCTCATATCTACCAAAGGCTGAATTGCTTTAACATGAAAGGTATCCACAGCATTACAAGGGACAAACATATCTTTTAGAGGAGATTGATAAAACACCTTGATATGTACAGGACTCATATGGACTTTTAGACTAACCAGATTAAAAAATACCTAGGTTTTGATTAGTGAAATTTCCCAGGCACCTAACTGTGTGTGGATGAGGGGCAATGGGGTTTCTCAACTCAGCCTATTTTGTGATTCTGTGATATGTGCCTGTGATATTCTGTGATATGTGCTTGTTCCTGGTATGGCTGGTATGGCTCAGTCTGAGCTGCAGCAGATACCAGATCAGACAACTCTTAACACAAAGGAGGAACCACGTGTACCCACTCTGTAATGATTTTTCTTTTCCTCTTAATTTACAGGTCAATGTCAAACTGTACAGAAAGGTATGAAGTGTCTTTCCTTGCTGTTCTTGGAGAACCTCAAAACCATAAGTATTCCTTCATAATTTCCTGCCAAGTATACTCATTTTGATGCTAGGGTGGGCTTGCTCACAAGAGAAATGTGCTCTTTCATGCAGTGCAGTATTTTGCTGCTGTGACAACAGTGTTTCTTACCAGCCAGAATCATTACCAAGAGAAGGACACTCAAATGTAGACCCATTACTTTAACAGCCAGTAATTTTATGAAGAGATGTCTTTCTATTACTCTTTTCCACTTCTAAGTGGATTGAGGGTCTTATCAACACTTATCTTTCCTAAGACCTCCTAACCTGATTCATTAAAATGTATTGGGTTTGTGAGAATATACAGGTAATCATATTATGGGTCTGCTTGCCTGTGAGTTAAGCACCAGAATGACTTTTTATCTCTGGGAAATTTCAATCAAACTTCGTGTAGGGTCTGTAATTTCAGAGATATTAAACTCTACAAATTTTGTGGAGCAGAGAAAAGAGGTAACTTAGTGGTACATTCCCCACTAAAAAAGAAAACCTATAGGAACTCACACCTGCTCAGGGAATCCATATGACTATTCAAGGACAGGGGAGAGAGTAATATCACAAAAACACTTTTATTCAGGAATTTAAGTTTTTCTCACCAGCAGATTCCCACCTTTCTCTTAGTAATTCTCTGGTCAAATTTCTAAGCTCAACTTATATCTCCAGAACTAAGCATGCTTCTCATCATCTTTCTATAAGTGGTTTTAAACATGCAATTCATTTTGCAAACTATTCCCAGCCTACTTGACAGCTAAAGAAATAAGTTCATTTGACACGGTATTTGTTATGTTCTCTTTGTCTACTCAGAATATCAGTGAAGAAAGTTACTTTTCCTGTGTTCACCTCCTTTTCATAGCAAAATGTGTGGATATTGCCCTGAGTTCTTGTACTGATGTTGCCTACACTCAAATGGTGTATCCCAACTTTCTGGATCAGAAGTCTAGAGAAGTGATTGAGTACAGCTCCGAGTACCTGCTCATCAGCGTGCTGCACAACCTGCTCCAGGGGGAATGTAACCCCGACCTGAGGCTCCTGGGCTGCTCAGTGCTGGCCCCACAGTGTGAAAAGGACAAAGTCATAAAGCCCTGCAGGCACGTCTGTGAAAACCTCAAAAAGAATTGCCTTCCTGCCTTTGATGCAATAGACATGGCCTGGCCCTACTTCTTGGACTGTGACCGCTTCTTCGCTGGGGAGGAAGAGGGATGCTTCGACCCACTGGCCAAGCTGAGAGGTGAGGGAGACAGGGAGGGAGGGAAGGAAAGACAGAAGGAAGGGAAGGAAGGGAAGGAAGGGAAGGAAGGGAAGGAAGGAAGGGAAGGAAGGAAGGAAGGAAGGAAGGAAGGAAGGAAGGAAGGAAGGAAGGAAGGAAGGAAGGAAGGAAGGAAGGAAGGAAGGAAGGAAGGAAGGAAGGAAGGAAGGAAGGAAGGAAGGAAGGAAGGAAGGAAGGAAGGAAGGAAGCTCTGCTGGCACACCTTGTCGGCATGGGGAGGGTCTTGTCTCACTCAGCTTGACTTATCCATGGCACACAACCTCTTCACTTGTCATGTCAGCCTGCTGTCTTTGTAGAGACCTCTAATGTGTCATTAATTTTGCTCAACCTCTTTTAAAGACTTAATTAAACTGTGCTGAAGAAGTATCTATTTGTCCCCCTCATTTAAAAAGAGCATCAAGACAGGCAGCTCAGAGCAAGATATTTGGATGCATTTAGATAATCCCTGTCCTGTGTGATAGCTGTCTATATATTTGAAATATTTTACTTAAAAACTGAAACTTTAGTGTACTTATAAATCTATGACTACCTGTCAAGCTTAACAGCTCATTAAAATATTCTCATTAATGATTGTCACAGATTTTTGTTTGGATGAAGATATAGATAGCTGAAGATAGATGAATCTCATAAAAAAAAAGATTCACCAAATTTAAAGGGAAAAATCTGCACAATTTGTTACTGAAGTGAGCTAGCATGCCAAAGGTCAAATTTAACTGGAGATTGCACAAATATTTGTTAGTGTGCATATGCATTAGTGGAATTAAAAAAAAAAAAACATGTCACAATAAAGTGTAGGATGTACTACATACATTTAAGGTTTTGATTGCAGCTTTATTTTCTATAATTCTTTTACTTATAAAGATAATTTGAGAAAAAGTGCAGGTTTCCTTACAATCCTCTGAGCACTATGGTTTTATGATTTTTCATTGCAGGAGAAGTAGATGCTGAGGAAGATTTGCCTTCAGACTTGCCAGCAACTTTTATTCAGTTCAAACACCACTCCTATTCCCAAATGGTGAGCACGCTGAAGAAGACAGCCTCGAGGTGCTCCCACATTGCCACCACTTACAGCATCGGCCGCAGCTTTGAGGGCAAGGATCTTTTTGTGATTGAGTTTTCAACCAAGCCTGGACACCACGAACTGCGTGAGTTTGATCAGTGCTGCTGCAGGGGAGAGCAGATTATCCAAGGGAAAACAGGCCCTGTTACTAGGACATCTCCTAAACTGTAAAAAGCCTTGACTCCAAAATATTTCTCCTCCCTTGGGTTCCTGAGTTGCACTGATAGCTGATGATTCCTCGTAGCAATTACAACCCAGCAGCAATTTCTTACTGTTATGGGCTCTCTCTGTGCAGGACCATACTTGGTAATGCTGTTCCTTGTATCACTGTGTATTTGGTTGCAGTGATATCACTGTTATTTATTTGTGCCCAATGCACAAATTTGGGATACATTGACTTGTCCTCCCTATCATGTACCATTTCCTCACTCTCCTACACATCCTAAAATACACAAATCTTCTGAGAAGACCTCAGATAGAGAAGGACATTGACACTAAAAAGGGATGATTCAGCACAGAAAACAATCCTCCTGAACAGAGATTCAGTCAGTATTATACCTGTCAGTTGGTGGTAACAGGAATTTATGTTATCATAGCTCCTGAACAGATGTTATTATACCATTTATAGGTGCTAATATATAAATTAGGACATGAGTCCTCACGAATTTTCTGTAGAGGGGAACTCTACAAATCTCTATTTTGTAGTTTCGTCACTAAGAGAGCAAGGGCAAGATTTTTAAGTGTTTTAAATTCTTCACAAAGCAGATAACTTTCTAGGGCAGAATTAGGTATTGTTTTCCAGTTACCAGCTCCCAGGTCAAAAATTATACTTGTCTAGATTTGGTGGATTGCTATGGCCATTGCTGAGAGCCTCAGACTGCTTCTCATCAGAAGAGCTCCAGCATCAGCATAGCCTCAGCAGTGTGGCTGAACTGAACTACATCTGACCTAATACTTTATTGAGATTATGGTCTCAGGTCAGGCTGCTGTGTCCTCTGTGTGCTGTGCTGCCCACAGAGGGGACTCAGAGAGGACAGCAAAGACTGGTCACTTTGTTTACTCTCAGCTGTGCTGCCCTGTGTGGTCTAGAGGTATTTTGAGGTGCCTTTAAACTTAATCAGGTCCCAGTAGATGTCATTAACAGAGCAAAGATCTATGTTACATTTTCCTGACCTATCACCCTTTGTCTCTTTTTCAAAGATAATATGTTGCAGGTGTCTTTTTAATCTTGTACTCCATTTTCCAGGAAAACACAAAGCCCATGAATCAGGCTTTTAAATGAAAACTGTGATATGGCATGATAAAAGATGGTAGTTTAACACATTTCCTAGCATTTTTCTCTAAATCTATTGCTTCATGCTGCTCGGGACACCATAAAAGGAGGTAGAAATAGGTCCAGAGCTGGAGATTTTACCAGCCTGAGCAAGTGGCATAATAGCTCTGTGCCAGGCTCCCTCCAGTGTCTAGTGCTCATGGCTGGCCAGGATCAAAGGCAAAGATGAAGGGATAGACAGGAAAGGGTGTCTCCAAAGTGCACCTATTTTCTACTTTCCATTAGTCTCTAAGGAAGGATGGAAATTGAGAGAATAACTACAGGGAATTGCAAAGTTATGTGTTTCTAATGGGCTTATTCCAGGGCTATTTAGCCTGAAAGCCCCTTTTTATGCATAACCCAACTTCTTTCCTAAATAAAGGGGTAATATATTACATATCTGCAGGTGGTTTCTAGGATCTGTGACAAAATAAGGCATTGAAGCCCCCCAAGGTAGGTCAGAGTGCCAGGGTTGTGTTTTGTTCCTCCCCAGCTTGATGTTTTTGTTTTCAGCATCCTTTGCACACAATTAATGATGACTCTAGCAAAAGCTCAGAGCAATGATCACCTCTTATGGTATGGAATCCTAATAGTTAGGAGTTAACTTTATTTCACACTACTTAAACTGTTGCTGAACTGATGTTTAATGGAGAGAAGCTCACCTAGAACTGCTGTGCTATTTGCAGGAAGATGTGCATGTATTTAGTGTAAATAAAACTTTGACTAATCAGTAAGCAACTTGGATTAGTCTGATTTTGGAAGCCACTCATGTATAATCAAATTAAAGCATCTCATTATTTGACATTCCACAGTCAAGCCAGAATTTAAGTACATTGGCAACATGCACGGAAATGAAGTTGTGGGGAAGGAGCTGCTGATATACCTCGCACAGTATCTGTGCTCAGAATATCTTCTTGGGAACCCTCGCATCCAGGCCCTGATCAACAACACCAGAATTCATCTCCTGCCCTCACTCAATCCTGATGGCTATGAACTGGCTGCAGAAGAGGTAAAAGTTTTATTATAAGGAGATGTTTAGGCCTTCGTGTTTCTATAATTCTCCATGGGAAAGAGCAAACTGGGAGGGGGTGTCATGTAAAGGGGGAACACTAATAATTGACTGCCAGAATCCCAGGTAGCATTGGTGGTGCATTGCTTTCCAAAGATGATGTGAACAGAACTAAGAGGAAATCAGAGCCATATTTGTCAGTTTTGCTGCCTGCATGTGATGATGTAGGAATGACTGTGTTACTTTTTCACACACTTAGCACTCTCTGCTATCAGTTCTAGAACAAAATGCCTGACTCACTATAATGACTTACATTGTTTTATAAGGAAATGCAGTCTAATAACATGCTCATGTTCCCCCTCTTTTAAATCTGTAGGCATAATGAAATGTGAATGTTTTCTGTACTGTCAAAGTTTCATAATGGATGGCAGTTTTCAGAGATCAGCTCATGTCTGATGGAGACCTGTGAAAACTAAGATTCTATTATTTGTTACCTGAGATTCTCATTTCCCCCTCTCTGTTTTCTCTACCACCACTAGCATGAAATTAGACCTTTTTTCTCTGTTTTTGCTCGTGTGGTGAGCTCTGTCCATTGTGTGAGTCTGGGGTTATTGCACTCTGCCTCATCCTGTCTTGCGGCATCAGCTGTATTTTCTTTTTCTCCTCTAACCGACTCTGCATGCTGCTCTGAGCAAGAGGCTCCTGTGTTCCTCTCATGAGTCACATCACTGGTGAGTGAAACACTTCCTGAATGCTAGTTAGTGCATTAATATTCATGGGGACAAAATGTGATTAATTAATAAGCGTGGGTTTTTTAACAGTACAGACATTTTCAGTTTATTTCTTTTAAAACTTCCCTTTGATTAATCAATTTCCACAAAGTGCTATTTTGAGACAGGGAGTTATTCTGAAATTGGCTTCTGTGTGACAAAATAGGGGGCTGGTTACAATGGATGGGTCATCGGCCGACAGACAGCTCAGAACTTGGACCTGAACAGAAATTTCCCAGATTTGACATCTGAGGCTTACAGAAGAGCTGGGATTCGTGGGGCCCGTCTGGACCACATCCCCATTCCACAGTCCTACTGGTGGGGTAAGGTATGAATTACACATTTTATAAATCATTTCTACTGCAGAGCAACTCAGGAGTTAAGAGACTGAGATTGCATGTTCTCAAGTTATTTGCTTGTAATCAGATTTTATAAGTAAGACTGAAGTGGACAGGCTCAGAATTTGCATGAAAATCATGGTGTAGGTCTGGCCAAAGAGGCAGGTGTCACAAATAATTTGGAAAATTTGTGGACAATTTGAACTTTTCTGGTTTAGATTAAGAATAATGACTGTTATGAGGGGGTCACAAGTGTGTAATAATTCATCATTAGTGCTTTAAACTGTGATGCCTGTTAAAGCCTTTGTGGATTTGGTTGTCATTACACCAAGCCCTGCACAGGTCTGATGCAATAGGAGTTTCTGCCACGGAAAATGTACAAAGGCTGCATGTAAAGCTGTGTGGTGTCATCTTCCATTAAGAGAGGATGTTTATAAATGACTGTAACCATATGGAGCAGTGGAAACAGCCAGTTGAGCTGCAGAGGTGCTGGGAGGGAAAGTTGCTGCTGCAGAGGTCAGAGCAGGATGGAGGCAGCACTACAGGGCCTCACACTCATCATCACTAAGCTCTGTGTGATGTTATGTCAGGAATGCAAAGCTCAGCCCTACCTGTGCTGCTGGCAGACCAGCAGGCCCCAGCACAACTCTAAGTGGACCTTAGCTGCCCTTGAAAGAAGAATCACAGGAAGCTAAATCAGTAGTTCAGATATTGGGAGCTCTGCTTTTCTTCTACTTTTAAACTAATTATATTCTGATTCAATATTTATTGCTGGCACAAAGCCTCAGACAGGTGGGGAGCAGGATTGCTTCATCTGGTGTCAGCAGAAGATTTGAGAGATGATACTCCATGTTCCTACTCTGCTGCAGGTGGTCTTATGTAAAGCCAGGTCTGAATCCCAAAGGCATCCCTGATGCTACCCCAGTGTTCTGGTACCCCATTTCACAGTACTAAAATCTAGATAAAAGCACCTCACTTCATCAAGATAATGTGCAGATGAAGACCCAAGGCTGTAAGAGGCTCAGTAATGCAGTGTATTAGACTACTAATTTCTGCCCTAATTAAGCTCAAGTAGTTTATTTTTGCATGTAATCACAGATTCCAGATTATGGCATTGAATTTCTGCAGATTATGGCACTGAATTTCTGGCACAAGCTTAGAAGTTTTCAGCTTATGACTGAATAATAACAGGTAACTGCAAGCTGTGTAAATGTAAGTGGAGTTCAGAGCCTCAGATGGTAAAGAAAGGTTGAGAGCTGTGGAACAGACCCTGAGGCCAAATGAAAATAACTGAGAGGGAAAAAAAGGGATTTTAGAAAAAAATTCAGAGAGATTTTGATTTATCCCTGTGGTGAGTTTCTCTAGTGGGATGCCAGGTGCCCACCAAAGCCACTCTATCACTCTCCTCCTCAGATGGACAGGGGACAGAAAATATGACTGAAAGTTCATGGGTCAAGATAAAGACAGGGAGAGATTAGTCACTAATTGACATCAGAAGCAAACCAGACTCAACTTGAGGAAAATTATTTATATCTATTTTATTTATTATGAGTCAAATCAGAGTAGAATAATGAGAAATCTTAAAAACACTTTGCCCCCACCTTTGCCTTCTTCCTAGGCTTAATTTTGCACCTGAATTCCATACCTGCTTCCCCACTGTGGTGCAGAGGAACTGGAAATGGGGGCTGTGGGCAGTTCATCCCACATTATCTGTGGTACTCCTTCCATCTGAGGGAGTACCTTCCCTTGCTCCAACATGGGAAGGAAAGGATGGAGATCTTTCTTCAGCCATGTGCTCCCTCTCTCTCTCTGTACAGAGGTGATGGGTTGAGGACCTAGGCAACACTGAGGAAGGACAAACCTATCTTTGACCCCCATTTTTTTTGCCAGTGTCAGGTGCAAACTGTGAGCTTGTCCCTGTAACTCTGCATTTCCAGCTCTAACCTCCTCCCTCTCCAAGTCCTGCTTCTGCCCTGCTTCTTCTGCTGACCTGTGAGGGAGGTGGCAGTGGCAGGCAGCTACTTGCAGAAGCCATCTTTACAACCATGTATTTATCTTTCTTTAACACTGTGTAACATCATAGCAGCTTACAGAGGGAAGAGTGGAGGCAGCCCAACATTGCTCTCACAGCTACCACCACAGCTCTGCCCCAGCTGCAGCATCACCCTGGGTTATCTGTCACAGACAAGGGAGGGACAACCTTGGCACACCACCACCACCTCTGCTTCAGTGGGTGTGGACCTGGGGTTACAAATACATCACTTCTCCTGCAAAGCTTTTGTTTTTAAAGAAGAAATAAGATGGTCATCCAAGGTACCCCTCAGAATACCAAAACTCAGGGAACTTCTAGGTGCTCTCCTGGCCCCAAAGCTGGTCCTCACATAAACTACACTCAAAACATCTCCAAATCCACATGCTTTACAGAGCATATGAGGGAACCAGGCCTGTGGCCTTAGTGGCACCACAAAATCTCCTTTCTGACTGTAGTTTCCTATGGTTCACAAACCTGACAGAAAGTGCTCTCCCAGCCCTGTGTCTCCTCTGCTGATGGTACCATGGGACTGCCAAATCAGCTGTCCCTTCAGTTTTGACCTTCAGTTTTGTCAGGCAGATGAGCCCATGGCTCTTACAGTGGTGCTTTGTGCATGCAGGAGCATTAGGTTGAATGTTTCAACACCAGCCTCTCCTCTTTCATTTACTTAACAGTGTTTGTTACCTGCCTTATTAAAGTAATTACCTGAGTGCTGCAGGGCATTGTGTAAAGATCAGGAAGCAGAAAGTGAGCTCTCAGCCAGGGCTCCTGCTCCCCAAAAGCCTGGCATCATTCAGAGTGTTTTGTTCCCCTCTTTTATGAATTATTGTAATAAGTGGTCTGAGGGCTCAGACAGACAGACCTCAGGCTACATCTCAAGTATAGCTCAATTGTCTTGGTTCAAACAGAATTCGGAAGTCTATGCCAGTGGAGGCTGGCATACTCTTTAAGAAAATTAGTCTGGCTGCTTTTTAAAGGGAGAAAAAAAATCTTTGAAAGCCATGGAGACAGTGACTAATTGCAGTATAATTGAAGAAATGAGATTCAGGTTTAGAAAGGGTAGTAGCTCTTCTCTGTGCTCATGCAGAAATAATTTCCCTGTTTTCTAGTTGTGCTCTGAATTGTCCTTGTGAGATGGATACTTTAAAATTTATCTCATCTAACTTAAAAGCAAAAGCTCTGGTGGAAAAAAAAAATACACTCCACAAAACCCACATTAAAGGAAAAGTCAAAGGCCAGAGTGGCAGAGATAACACCTGCTATCATGCAGTGGAGCTGAACCAGAATATACTAATTTCATGTCACTGAAATGTTATTAGCATAAAAATAGTGTCATTGAAAGTCCTGGTTTTTCACAAAATTCACTTCAGCAAGACACTGGCTCTGTGAGACAGCATTGTCTTCGGGCTTATGCAGGTATCTGCTTAGCCAGTTGGCTGATCAGGCTGAAGGACTGAAACCAGGAGCTCTCAAATAAAAATGTGTTTTTTACCCTTGTTCACTGAATTGCAGAAGCAACTTAGAAATCCTGTCAAGGCCCAAGGCTGCAGTTTGAAAGCAGGGCTGATGCTGTGTCAGGCATGGCCTCTCTGGCTGGGCAGCAGGCGCTGGGGCAGCTGCAGAAGGGCAGGGAGCTGATGGGATTTTGGGACAGCAACCTCCTCAGAAGGGCTGGTGCTATGGGCTTGGAAGGTGTGAGCTTGTTCCAGGTGCCCAGCCACCCTGAGAAACTCCCAAACTGCCCAATCCATGGGGCAGGCAGTGACACAGCCTCTTACAAGCCCTCTGGGGTTTTCTCTTCAGAAGAGATGGGCTCAGAGGATGAAACTCCAGCGTGCAGGTGGAAGTGGCTGGTTCAGTCCAAAGCACTACTGGGATAAAGGTCATGATCAGCTCACCCCAGGGCACTGTACAAAGGCCAGAAAAACAAATCCTTTGGTGCAGATAGCATTCTTTGGACACTGACATGTTTCTTGTCAGGAAGCCTGGGGGCTGCTTTCTTCTCCCACTTCTGTATCATGTGAGTGGGTGTGTGAGACTGCTAAAAGTTCTTTCCTTTTGGAGTGCCCTTTATCTGCATTTTTTAATATTTTTTTTCCATGTCATGCCCTTCCTGGAAACTCTGTATTTAATCTTCCCTATTATGTAAAAAAACTTTGATTAGGCTTCTGGTATGGAAAGTGCATTCTGTATTCCTTAGTTGATCAGACTTTACCTGTTACATCCCATTTTTTAAATTGCCTCTTTAAAATGCCAAAGTTGAAACCTACAGAGTAGCATTTATCTCATTTGCTACAGAAGAGCATTTTAAGGGAACCCAAACACTAGAAGGACTTAATTTAAAAACCATGGCATCTATAGGGAAGTAATCTCCTACTTTGGTCAGGAGCAGACAGGGCAATATCTTCTTAAATCATTCCAGGTAAAGCTATGTTTAGACATGGCTTTTTCCTTGGCTTTGTGCCTCATTGATGGAACTATAATACATGCATTGTGCACCTTCACAGTGTTTTTCTGTGCTCCACACCTGGGTTTGTGGATCCCCAAAGGTTTTCTAACAACAGTAGATTAGGGACTGATCCAAAGAAAACAGGAATTACTATTGTTGAAACACAAGTATATAGGTCTTTAGGGGCTTTATTCAGTTGGTTTGGTAGTTTTTTTCTTGTTTGTTTTGGATGTTTTTTCTCTGCACACTGTTAGTCACTAGTGCTCTGGAGCCCTGGCTGCCTGGTTTTCTGACAGCTGAGTCAAAGCAAAGGCTGATAAGCAATCCCTAAAGCAGCCCTAAATAGATGCTGGATTAACTTCATCATCACAGGTGTATCTCATTTTTATGAAACCCGCATACCTGCAGTGGTGCGGGGTCCAGATAAGCAGCCTGTGCCCTCCTCAGGCTTTCCCCAGGTAATTTCCCCCAGCTGCCAGGAAAGGAACCTCAGCTCTCCCGGGCACTGGCGTCAGTCTGGGCTTGCAGGGACCGGCCACCAGATGCCACTGTTATCCCTAAGAATGAACCAGCACCGGAGCAGGTCCGGTGATCACTCCTCAGAAACGGGGTGCAGGAGCCTCCTGCATGCCGGCTGCCTGAACATCTCCTGGAGTCTGCTGCCCTCTCCCTTGGCCGCTGTTACTGAGGGGGCACTGGCAAAAACACCTGCATTTGGTGACTTATCTGCCACAGTTCACTGCAGGCAAACTGCAGGCTTTGCTGTGCTTTATACATATTAGTTTTCATTTATTTACAGATTAACCTGCACCTAAGGATAGCAAATGCTTTTCAACAAGTGATGAGAATTGCAAATTTGTCCCCCTATTCCAGTTTATCCATTCAAAGTCAATCCTGCTGATTCAGAAATGAAATTAGATAGGGAGTTAGGTAAGTAGTGATAAATGCCACAAGTTTTCCAGCCTAAAGTATTGCCATCATCATCTGAAAATGTCACTGTAATGAAAAGTTTCTTCTTCTGTCAAATGTTCTTTTCCCTTTTTTGTTCCAGTTTTTCCACAGTGAACAATGTGTATCATCCATTCCCTGGAGAAAACTGATTTTCTTCCCCCAGTATCTTTTAGGCTGGAAGAGCCAAAGAGCTTCAACGTTCTCTTTTTGACACAGTCTCTTCTCCATGGGGCTTCATCCTGCAGAGGATCAAATCCCTTTGGAATTGCATGGCTAGTCACAACTTTTTTTTTTTTTTCCTCCTGGATTTCAGGTGGCCCCTGAGACAAAAGCAGTCATGAAGTGGTTGAGGTCTATCCCATTTGTGCTCTCTGCCAGCCTGCATGGGGGTGAGCTGGTGGTGACCTATCCTTATGACTATTCAAGGCATCCTATGGAAGAAAAAATGTTCTCTCCTACACCTGATGAGAAGGTAATGTTGCTTTTGCAGGATGTTGATTCCATTTGTGAAACTATGGAAACATTTACTTTTAATAAATAACAAACTTTAATTAATTTAGATCATGTACATATGTGGGTATATGTATGCATTTATGTATTAAATATGTATAAATAACATATTTATATACATAACCCAAGTGTGTGTATATATATATATAAATATGTATATATGTATGTATGTATACAACATGATATAGCTCATTTGGGTAGAGCTGATGCTAACAATGCCAAGGTCAAGTGCTCAATTCCCACAGAGGCCTTTCACTTAAGATTTGGACTTGATGATCCTTGTGGATTCCTTCCAACTCAGAATATTGTGTGACTCTAATTCATACACTTACTTAATGTACTTTCAAATATAGGATTGTTAATACTCCATCAGCTTAGTCTGGAAAGATTGAGCTATCTTTTGTGAGGCCAGATAAGGTTTCATAAAGCACAGATTAGGAAAATCCAGGTTTTAATTTTTAAAGGGAGTAGGCTGTGATATTTTTACCAGTGGTTTCCAGAAGAAAAGGAACAAGCCTGACCAGCAGTGTTATTTTCCTGTGGAATCCATAAGGAGTGAGGGGAAAAAAAGACTTGTTGCCATATGGTGGCAGCCTTGTAACATTTATTCCAGGTCAGATGAATGGGATTGGTTTCCCCCTCTTGTCCCTGGAAATTTCCTCATTTGGGACTCACTGTAAATCTTCTGTGAAATTTTTGCCATCTTTCCTATTTCCCTTTGGTTTCCTCAATCTAGTATTCATTGCTGACATGCCCACCAGGAGAACAGCTAGCTTTTCAGCCTTCTAGCTGAGCTAAAAATGTCTGTGGCCTCTGAAGAAAAGTGGTTCTTTATATAAACAAAGAACAGTTGAAAATAGTCAGAAGTTGATCTTTGACTTGAAGCATCCTTTATCTTTGAGCATATCTCTAGGCTGACTTCTTCTGAAATGGCAGTTCTCACTAACACATATTAAAGATATATGGTTGTTAAACATTTTCTGTATCAATCCATTTTTTCTGAGCTCTACAATGCCTAATGACTATGTGTGTATGAAAATGATTTAGCAGTATAATTAACCAGGCATTGCACAGCCACAAGCCTGTGTAAGAAATATCTGTTGGGTGCTAATGCAAGCTGCAGAACCTCTTGCTGAGGACTGGGGGAAATCATCAAATTGTGCTTTTACATCCCACTGCCTGGGCTAGGGCTATCCTATGCAGAGGTGGTGAAGGCATATTGCCATGTGTGCTTTGTTAAGCAGTTCACCCCTGGAATGGAAGTACAGCAGTACTTCTATCATTTCCACTCAGGCACAGCACGTGTATTTTGAGTGGAAGTATGCAGACAAGGTCTCTATCCCAGTGTAGTGCACAGCTGGACAAACCCTAATGGCACTCCTGGCTTGCAGCACAGGGACAGGGAACCCTATACAGGTGACTGCTGCATAGTCTGTGACTGCGAAATCTGGGAATTTGGCTGCAAATCTGGAAGTTTAGAACATGCAGGGGAGGGCTGGGGATGTCTTCAGTGAAAAACTGATTTTTCAAATTACTCAGCACAAGAAACTTTAACAGCCCTGTTAGCATCACTTGAAATTTTTCACAGAAAACCAGTGAAGTGATCTGCATTAAAGTAATGTGAACTACAGCTGCTGTTGTCAGGGAACCTTCATCCCAAAATACAGCAGTTTGGTTATCTGCCATACATTGGCCATAACCATTGTTCTGAATGCTGATCTGCTACATTTGCTCTGCAAGGGGAAACTTGCAGACCAGGGTGAAATGCTGCAGAGCAGATGAAAGCCAGATATTAAAAAAATCAAATTTTGGGAAATATATTCAAACCACGTTTCCCTATTTGAAAAAGCATCTGTGCTTCCACCTCCCCATGTCCATCATGGTGCATGCATGGAAGCACAAGGATCCTCTCCTCTGCTCCAAGATGATGCAGATTTCAAGTCTCTTTTTGGCCTGCACCACATCCTGGGGCAGTACTGGCTGAGGGGAAGGAGTCTCAAAGCTGGACCATGTCCTTACGCTCACATTCTTGCATCTGGTTCAGCCCCCCTAAAAACTTTCCCATATTTCGGGGTTTGTGGAGATGGATGTTTTAATTTTTTTTTTTTTTAACAAGAAACTGAATGATGACTCTGCTCACCAGAGCACAAAGGTCCACACCAAGTCAAGTTCGCTCCCTTTGGTGAACTGAAATACTCCCTTCCCTCCCCCTGAAAAACCCAACCTGTGATGGTCAGTGGGGTAAAAGTGCTGGCTGAGGTAATAGCACTGACCTCACTTTACTGAGTGAAACATCACACTGCCAATGTCACAAGGATTCCTCTGTTTTTCCCCTTTATGTTCCTCTATATTACACCTAAAAATCTAAGTTTCCTTGAGGTCCATGACTGGCCACACATTTGCTTCTAAGTGATAACAAATGTATTGTTATCCAGGAACTTTTTTCCTCTTCTCACTACCACTGGCCTTCCTTCACTTGAACTATTGGCCAGACAAAAGCCTTATGCCTCTTGTTGTGAAACAAGAGGAGGCTTGGTCACTGGAAATAGGACATCTGCAGATGTCTTTGTAACTCACATAGGCACCTTCTAAACTTTCTATCAAATACCTTCCATGGAACATTCAGAACTGGGACCCAAATTCCTGTAGAAATTAAAGATATTGTGCCTGGCACTGAACTATTGGCAGTGAAAGTTCTTCTTAACCTATTTAATTAACATCTATTTCTTTTCAGCAAAACTTTGAAGAACACAATTTTCTGGTCTGAGCAATATTTAAACACAGAGAAACTTAAGGGAGTTGCAAAAGCATTGTATATTAAGTCTGAATTTTTAGTTTCTGGTCATCAGAAGTATTTCAGCAATGTGTCTTTACACTTACATTAAACTGTCTTTCCACCTTTCTTTGCTCACCTACCTGATCCCATAATTGGCTCAGCCATGTGATTATTAGAAACAATCACAAATATCAATCAACGTTGTATGCTTGGTCATTTGGGTCTGTATCCTTGATGACAACACTAGGATAAAGCTTTAGGATCACTTCTAAAACTAGGATTTTAGCCACCAAACTTCTTGCACACACTGTCTTAAGCAATATGGAATGAAACTCATGATGATGAATAGTAGTATCAAGTAGCACCTGATAACTGCTGTAATTTCAGTGTTGAAATCTGAGAGTCTTGTCTTAGCAGATAAGGTCCAAATAGACCAAAAGGGGAGGGAGGATTTTTATACAAAGTTGGAATAACTATTGGAGAAGAAGGGCAGGAACATGATTCAAATAAATGGTTTCTTCAGATAACTGCTCTTTCTTCTGTCTTCACTACATGTTCTGCCACTGTTCCTTTCTGCATGGTGACTGCTCTGCTCTTCATCAGTGTCAACACTCTTTGGAAATCAGTGGTGACATCCTGCATCATCACATCCTACCCTTCACTTTTTGGAATGGTTTCTGCCCCACACAGAAGGAGCTCTCTCTGAGATCAAACTGGCAGGTTTTCCTGTGTGAGTGATAAGTGCAAAGCAAATTGACACTGACTATTTTAAACAGCAGCATTCAGTGTGAAGATTTAGTTGGCGTGAAGGGTAAAAAATATCTAAAACAAAACATAAAAGAGGCCTAAATTTCAACTTTAAAACCTGGAACTTGAAGTACAACCAAAAATGTCCTTTGCTCTTGCCCCAGGTGGTAGATTGAAGCCAAGTATCAAAAAATCCACTGTTATTTAATATGTTGTCCCTGGATAAATATATTGGATTGAAGAGAACTCTAGAGAAGAAGACAAATCAAAATTTCTTAGCAACAAGCAAAACTTCCTTGTAGAGCAGTTCATCCCCTCCTTCAGTCTCGAGGACACAGGGTGGCTCATTGTCTGGACTGACAACAGCAATAGTTAATAACAGCAATGGCAAAGTTTTCAGTTTGTAAAAGCAAACATATTCCAATCATGTCTGTTACAGGTGTTCAAGATGCTGGCTAAAGCCTATGCAGATGCACACCCTGTCATCTCAGACCGGTCTGAGCTCCGCTGTGGTGGGAATTTTGTGAAACGTGGAGGTATTATAAATGGTGCTGAGTGGTACAGCTTCACTGGAGGTAAAACCACTTTACCATCATATCAAGTGAGGTAAAACCTCTATGTGACCTTTATAAGACACCAGGGTTTGAACAAAATGATTTCATTCATTTCAGTTTGGTTAAGGTCCTACCCATGCAAAACATAATTTTTAGGGGATTTAAGTAGTAAAATCTATGTTAGTAATGTTTTTATGCAGATAACATGGGATGCATTCAACCCCAATGGGACTTGAGGAAAATTAACAAGTTATGCAAGGGTCAAATTTGTTATACCATATAATATAATATTTTTATTTTCAAATCTGACATGTAGAAATAAATTCTTAATTCTATGCTCTCATTCCTTAGCCTCATGAGTCTGAATCCATCTTGTAGACAATGTATGTGCTGCTTTCTCATCTGTTTAAATAAATTCTTTTTTCAGGGAAAACATCCAATTCATTTGTGCTTCTGCTGTTAATTTGATTTCCCCAATAATAGTATTTTGTTTTCTTTAGAATTCCTTCAATACTGACATGGATAAAATATCAGTGTTCATAAATTTTCAGCGGCGCTTCACTTGTGTTTTCCAATAGGACTCAGCTGGATGCCCAAATAATTATGTTGAAACTAGACATTTGGAATGCTTTAGGGCATGTGTGAGAATTAGGTTTAGATCTCTTTGGCTTACTTTCTTCCCAAAATTAAATCCAATGTCTTTGGTACAGAAACAATTTTGAACATAATAATGGCAAAAGGTCATTTCTGTTCTGGTGACCCTTGGCAATCACCTCTGATACAGCTGATTATACAGTTACTGTGATTAACTAATCTTTATTGCTCTATTGCTACTTCTTGGCCAGGTGAATAATAATATAAAATTATGGTTTTTTGCCTGAAAGGAGTGTCATTGTCATTAGCTTTTATCGTTGAAACAAGTTATGGAATTCTGAATTTGTTGAACACTTTTTATATATTTGCAAGCACTTTTTACAGTATAATAACCCACACCCATGGGAACAGCATTCAGCTGACTGCAGCAGCAAAGCTCCAGCTAAAAGCTACATGGCTGTTCATGAGCTGTCCTCTTTCTTTTTAAACCTGTAGGTATGGCAGATTTTAATTACCTTCACACAAATTGCTTTGAAGTTACCGTGGAGGTAGGATGTGAAAAGTTTCCTTTGGAGGAAGAACTGTTTACAATCTGGCATGAAAACAAAGGTGCCCTTCTGAATTACATGGAAATGGTACTGCTCTGCTTTTACAGACCTTTTTGCTTTCTGTTTTTCTTTTTCATTCTTTGTCAAATTAATTTCTTTGCTGTTTTCCTGGTTAGCTCTCGAGACGATGCTCGAGACCCCACTCCTCCAGAGGCCCCAGTGCCTCAGTTTATCTGTCAGGACACACAGGTGGTATTTTATCTATGCTGCAGAAGGGATTGAGATTGAGGACTGCAAAGGCCTTGAAAATAGTGAGAAAGGGAATTATCTGTGAATACTTTGGGCAGCATTATTCATCAACTGTCCAAAATTTTAGCACTAGAGAAAACCTTAATATTCAGAAAAGTATGAATCAACTTTCCTTTTGAAGACTAAAGCAACAAGATCTGCTCTCCAGAGAGCTTCCTGAAATTTTCCTTTCCATATTCCATGTTTGTGTCCCAAACTCTACTGTCCCACAGCAGGAAATTTAGATTCAGCTAAAATCTTGCTAGAAATACCATTTACACACTTTCCATCTTGATTTCTTTATGAAAGTAGTTATTAAAAACCTCAAGCCAAATCTTCTAAAGGAAGAACTGTGTGTCTCTGAGCATTAAAACGTGCCACTTAAATGTCATTTTTAATAATAAGTTTAAGCTCAGCAAAAACAAATACCTCACTGACAATAAGTAAGTGAGCACAGAAACAGAAGTTGCTCATCTTTCTCTCAGCCATTAGTAGATTAGCTTTCTGTCATGCCTTATTTTGATAGAGTATGCAGTAATTTAAAATTGTTAGGAGTGTTTTTATGGCCTTTCTAAGCAACCTCTTGCTACTTGTGGTAAGTATTATCATTCAATAAAGTCTACAGTGCAGACCACCAAACTCATTTCGTTTTACAGCTGTCTGATGAAAATGAGTTTTAGTGAATCCAAATGGAGCTGGGTTAAATCCATATATATTACAATTGAAGTCTTCAAGATGTAAAGATTTTATAGTGTGAGATACTGTAGAAGTCTGTGCTGGAAAAGCTTTTTGAGTAAATGCAGGACAGTAAGCAAAACAACTTTGCAGATAAGGATGACTGAATTACCCACGATAAGGATTAAGTCTGCCATAACCAATTCAAACTTTTCTTATTCTGATATATACCAGGCTGTTTGGTGTGTGTACAAATATACTTGACTCAACACACAGAAGTAGAATTCATTTTCCTAAACACTGATCTCTTCTCTCCATCAGAAGCAATATCAAAATACCCTGCCACACTCATGTGACACCAATTTGAGGAAAAATGAAAAATAGTACATTTACTAAAGAAAACCAAAGCAAGACTGAGAAAGAAATTTCAGTTTTTTCATTTTTATCCTGTCATGTTATAATTGCAAAATTAGTATTGAAGCTGGATGAGGTCATACTACTTTGAGTATGTCTACACTGTAAATTGAATTTGAGTCCAAGATGACTCTTCTGACCATATTTACTCTCTATCCATATGATAAATCCCCAAGTTCATGCTGCAAAGCAAACTGAAGTGCTTCATTATAAGGGATAGTTTTCAAATCCTTATATTGAGTTGCTCCTAAACTTTCCAGTGAGTAGCTTAACTCAGTATATGGAACAGCTGCTTAACAAGAGCAGTGACAACACAGTCTCACCCTAAATTAAAAACTGCTCTCACTAGACTAGACTTTTTTTCAAACTTTGTATAATCAACTACTGTAAAGTTGGATACTTTAATGGTTATTTTTAAATATCTTTATATTCCAACAGAAAAGCAAATGTGCTTTTTCTATTGTTTTGATGCTTTGTGGGGTTTTTTATTCTTCTCTTGTGACAAGGGTGATGGGAAAGGGAAAGTGAGTGAAAAAGAAAAGAGAAGGTGGGGAAGTAAAGAACAACTTAAGCTGTTCCGAGAAAAAATAAAAATGGAATTATTTTTATTTTAAAAGGTCATATACATTTCCCAATACAAAATATTTTAAATTTGGAATGTTGTAAAAAGAGAACCTTAATAGGCCTAATGTTTAAATACTTGGAACTTTTTTCTGTTTTGTTTTATTTTATTGAACTTTCAGTATAGCTGTTAGTGCACCTCCTTGTATGAAAAAATTCACATTGCTCTTTAGTTTGTCACCAAGCACATTTCTCAACATCTCAAGCATCTCTGTGCTTGTAGAGAAGGGGACATGGCTGTCATACACACTGCTGTCATGGCATTCTGACAGGCAGTGAAGTGTAGGCAGCAGAGTGATGATGAGTCACAAGTACCTGAAGTGATGCCTTCTCATTGTGTTCAGGGCACCAGATTGGTTTTGAAAGCCTTAACTTTCCATTTCTTTATGGTTCTGTGTCTAGGGCAGACATTCAGAACAGTCTTTAAATACTGTGCTCACACCACAAGGTGCCAGTGATTTGTGCAGAGAAGGGTCTCTCCAAGCAGAGCCACATACCTATCCCAAAAAAGCTCTGGTTCCATTTTCCCTTTCCCTCAGTCCCCTTGGGCCTCCCTAAAGAGGCAATGTGATCTGAAGGGGCATTATCTCCTGAGAGCCTCTGAATGGGGTGAACTTTTTGACCATTGTTTCCTCTCTGCAAAGGTTTCCTTGTGATGAGGATGGTATTGCAGTGGCTCCCATCTAACTCTGCTTTGCTTTGCCAGGTTCATCGGGGGATAAAAGGAATTGTGTCTGATAAGTTTGGCAACCCAATAAAAAATGCTCGTATTTCAGTCAGGGGCATTCAGCATGATGTCACCACAGGTAATATTTTTAGTTTAAGATTTTTCCTGGGGCAGATTGAAAGTACTGGGAGCTTAACCTGCAAAAGTATTGCCATGTTTGGTAGAAATGACACCTTAATGGAAAACTGAAGGCTCAGGTGGGGGTTCTCTTCTGGAATAACAAGAGAGAAGACATGTTGAGCTGACTGCTAAGTCTGTTCTGTCTCTGGGATGATGGAGTTCTTGATGTGAAAAATTTCACCTGGAGCGGTCTGCTGTTCACCAAAGCCAGTGTTTGGGGAAATATGGCAAAAGCTCTGTTCAGAGGCTGTAACTCAGCATGAGGAGATGTGGAACCTTGATGGAATAAGTTAGTTGAGATATTGTGAACATGTTGTAAGTAGTGCAGTAGGATCCCCTCTGATTTTCACAACTAGAATAATTGCAGAAATTGAAGAGTCCACAACCTTTCCTGTTCATGTGGAAACACATAAACATGTGCAATTTTTGGAACTATTATTATTAGAACATTGAATTATGTCCACTTTATACCTGTCATCCGCTGATAAACATATATTGGGGCATATACAACTGTTATTTTTCACAGTCATAAAGTTCTGAGCTCTTAGGCTGTCACTGAAATCAATGCTTTCTTTTTATTATTGATTTCAGTGAGAACAGGGTAGGCCATAGAAGTGCAAAATAGAAGATATGAATGGTTACATTTTGGTCTAATGATCGTTGTTGAATCAATTTGGAAAGCCAGAATGGCTTATAATGTAGTGGATGTTTTCCAGCTTTCAAAAAACTAGTACTAGAGGGGATACAATAGTGGAGATGATGCAGATTATTGAGGCTAGTGGGAGATTCTGGCATGAATTAGGGTCTTTTTCAAACTTCTTCCCAGACAATGGCTTTCCATATATAATCCTTTAAAGGATTAAGAATTAAAGAAAAATATGTTTACACTGTAGGAAAGAGAGTATTTGCTCTGAGTTAGGTGGGGTTAAAAATGTCATATGGTTAAAATGGTTTTTGATTTTAGTGTTAAAAAGAACTAGGAAATTCCATGAGAAAATAGTATTAATGCAACACTAACTGAGCTAAGAGACTTGCCATTCAAAATAAAGGAAATATAAAATGAGGAATAAATTTTTCAGTTTTAAAGCCCCCTGCTTTTGCCTGCAGGGTCTAACCTTCAGCTGGAGGAAATTTACACCCATTTTACACTAATGGCAATTTATACCAGCTGCAGCTCCAAGTCCATAGTCTTACATGCAAGAATGTCTGCAAAGGAATTGAATGTAATTTAATTAAAAGAGGGATTTCTTAGCTCCTTAGACATTCTAAATATATATGTATGTGTATATATTGCAGCCTGGATTCTGATTTTGCTTTCTTAAGTTTCACTTAGTTTTAAATTGATTTCTTTGGGAGTTATTCCTTGTACCCTTGGGAAAAGCAGCATGAAGGAAAGCATCTCTTCCCTGTGATACAGAAACAGCCGGTAGGGACATTTTGTATGTGAATTTTACTCTGTGACCTCCCAAGGGCCAAGTTTTCACAGGCAAAGTCTCTTTTGTGTCATCCAGAGTTTGCCTTCAAATATTTTCCAAAATCTGAGCTGCTTCCATGGCCTACCCCTTAGCTGCCGTCTAAGGTAGTGCGTGCAGCTACAGGGGATGCAAGGCAAAAAACTGAGCTGGGTTTTGTTGTGCCTGTCCCTTTCCCAAGCCGCTGATGGCGACTACTGGCGGCTCCTGCCTCCGGGGACGTTCATCATCAGCGCCCAGGCGCCGGGCTACAGCCGGGTGATGAAGAGGGTCACCATCCCCACCAGGATGAAGCAGGCCGGCCGTGTGGATTTCGTGCTGCGGCCCGCCGAGGCCTGGCCCAGCAAGCTGCTCCGGCGCTCCATGGAGGACGCCTACGACCCTCAGGACCCGCTGGAACTTTTTGACCCTCACGCCCAGCACGGGCAGGCCGAGGCTCGGGGAGGGACCGCGGCAGGCAGGGAGAAGCCGTGGTGGTGGTCGTACTTCAGCTCCCTGGACCTGCACAAACCTCTGTGGCTGCTCAAGCAGCGCTGAGGGACGGCGCCGCGCGCCTCTCGGCTCGCTCCGCTGCCCTTCCAGACACCCGCGGTGCTCTTGGCAATATTTAAATGTTTCATTTGAAAATATAATATTAATTCAAGCACGCTTGCTTCTTTTGTTTTCTCTTCACACACAACTGAGTATATTCAAGTGGGCTTTTAAGTATTAAAAACAACGGTGCACATCCATTCAAAGGGCAGATTTTATGCAGGTTTTTTCTTGGTAATGCTCTGTACTTCTGCCCATGTAGTTAATCATCACATTCATTATTTATTAGGTTCTAAGTACCTGCAGGAAAATATTCCTGATCCTTTAATGCATTTTTGTACATGTTTTAATACATTAATGATAACATACTAAAAACAACATTCAGAAACACTCAGAAAAATCTTTTCTTTTCCCTTTTTACTTTAGCATATTAAGTTCATTACCTTTTCTAATAACAGCTCAAAATATAGGGTCTTTTTTTAAAATTTTAAATGTTTTTACAAATTTAAAAATAAGCTTTTAATGTATTTAGCAAAATACAGGAAAATGCCTTTACATACTGTAAATGTGTGTAGACGTAGAAAAACACATGAGATAATTAATGAGGAATTTAGGTTCAAGTGTGACATATTACACTGACGTTTTTAACATCATGCACTATTTTGAGCCTATGTACATGTTAATGAAACTTGTAGACATCAAAGAAATCAAACCTTTTTTCAAGATACTTGAGTAAAGCTCAGTGAATAGTGGTCTTGCAAGATGCTGTCCTCTCTCAAATATCAGATGTAATGTATTTTTAAGGTGATATATATTAAAGAAAAGTCCTTGATTTTGATGAAAAACACAGGCCCACACCTCCTTTTAGCCTGGACTGTTAATGAACTCCCTATACAGACTGTATTTCCTCCTCTAAATGCCACAGTGCTTGAATGGTGTGATTGTTGGAGCTGATTTGCTTTCTGCAGCAGCTGCTGGATTAGCTGTGTGGATTGCCCTATGAATTCTAAAAACTTTTTTTGCTCATCTTAGGTAAAGCAGCCCCATTGCATGAGCCCCATAGTCCACATGCACCTATCTCGTTCTGTAGCTTCCTAGGAAGACCCAAGAGATGAATGATCTTAATTCTGCAACCAGATGCTGCACATGGCTAAGTACTTTATTCCCAGTTGTAATCTGATTGAAGTTAGGAGTCTGTTATTCATGTGCTTGGATGTCTGCAGGACTGGAGACTATGTTAAAATGAAAGAAAATTATTTCAGAGCATTAACAAAAAGTAATTATATGGGAGTGAATGTACTGCATGCACATGGATAAGTGTTCCTTGCCCAGGCTTGCCAAGTTAAAGGAACTCTGAACCCTAACTATGCCAAAGAAAATTGAACAGGAGATACACCTCCAGACTTTGTTTCCAGTAATAGGTATTACTACTGTTTTCTTTGGTCATTTTTTTCAAAGCCAGCTTCCTGTGAAAACAGTGGTGAAGCTAACAAAATCAGAACAATATGGTAAATTGCTAAGTATTATCTGCGTTTATTAAGCACATAATTTGTTGCATGCTTAGAAAGATGTTTTCTCTGAGTACTGCCTAGGTTCTCACAGACCTATTTAGAAATTTTTTCAAGTGATCACAGTAAACCCAAGCCTGCTGAAATGCCAAACAGGATGACTGTGCAGAAAATCTGCTTCTTTCTGCAGTCCTGACTTGAAAAAGTAGATGAGACTCAAGACTTGGGAAATAAGATTTCTGATTAGATTGTAAAGACATTTTATGTTTGAAAAAGTAGTTTGCTGTACTACTGTGCCACTCATGGTATAGCAGTGAAAAGAGAGAGAGCAAGAATAGCCTCTCTCCCCACCTCAATCATAGAAGAGGTGTCCAGCAGAGAAAAAGTTAAGATCAGAACCTTCTGCAGGTTCACACTCAACAGCCTATATAGAAGGAATGTATTAAACTGCATTGAAGTAACTGTGAGGCTCTTGGGAAAAGGTGTGCTTCAGTCTTCTGGAGCTATTTAATCTTTTTCATAAGAGCAATTCTTCAGTTTTCAGTTCCCTTGGAGGGGGAAAAGACTAGTAGAATGACTAAGTAGCTCCAAAAAACCATTTTACTATAGATAAGATTTAGGACTTATTTATTGGTGCTTTCAGAAAGAAAAGAAAAGAAGTAAGGGAAAGAAAGAGGAAGAAAAAGAAAGAAAGAAAGAAGTAAAGAAAGAAAAGGAAAGAAGAAAGGAAAGAAAGGGAAAGAAAGAATTGGTCAAAGCCAGCCAAGTAACAATGCAATCAAAATTACTATCACCGTTCTATTTTTATTTGAGATTAATACAGACTTAGTTCTGTATATATGTGAGAGAAAATATTGGCTTGGATGTGTATCCTGAACTGGATTACAAAAATTGTCTTCAATATTTATTTAAGTCAAGCAATGTGTGTTTAATATCAGACAGTTTTGTTAAAAAATAAAAAAGAAGAAAAAAAAAAAAGACATAACCCAAAATAACCCACTCCATGACTATAATATGGTTCAAAGGATTTTTAAGTGGTGGTGAAATTTAAGCATCTGTAGGCAGCTCTGTAACTAATATGTGGAAATGAACACAGTGATCACCTCCCTCATGCACTTCTGTAAGAGGCTCATATACAGAGTTTAATGGAACATAAATTTAGGAGAATATTAAATACTTTTTAAATAGAAAGAGGGATTAAAATGCTTCAATGAAACATGCCCTCCTACAAGTGAAGTGAAAGTAACATAGGGAAGAAGTGAGAAATAACCAAAGCTCTCTGGCAGTCTCCTTCATGCTTGAGCCCTGCCTTGGAGACTGGGCTTGGCTTTTTTCCAGTGCTGCTTTGGATCCTGACAGGTTCAGCAGCCAGACGGTGCTGTCAGAAATTATAGTGTGTGTTCATCAGACTCCCTCTCCTTTTAAGTCAGAGTCTACATAATTTTTTTCAATTACCTTCCAACCACATATTGAACAGTATTGATGTATGTTTTTGCAACATCCTCCTTAATAATTAATTTCCCAGTCTCCATATTTATTTCAGAGGGATCTTCTCTACCATGGAGCCAAACTTTTCTGCACAATCACACTAATAAATGTTTTGACCTGCCAACTGTCCAGACCTCACTGCTCTGCCAGCAATGAATCTTCCCAAGTCAAAGCATGCAAATCTAACTAACAGCATTAAAAGCATAAAGAGCAAAGAGAAAGCTCTGATTATGTCATATGTGCAATTTCTCTTTCATTCACATGCCAGAAAAAAGCCAGGAACACATTAAAAAATATCAGCAGTTAAATCAAAAGCTGTGTGCATGCATTCTACAAAAGAAGATTTCGGTCTGTTTGTTCCATTCATAAAAACTTCTGAGATCAAAAATATCAATAATAAACAAAGGCATAAAATTTGCAGCTGTTTACATCTTCATCTCCTGTAAGAAAATTGTATTCCAGTCTTGGGCCTCCCACATATAGGAAGGAGCGTATTTGTTTTCCTAAAGACAGGAAAGAAGAGAAAGGTGTCCTAAGCAAACTGCTGAAAACAGAACTTTAAGTGTCAAAACCACTGAGTATTAGAAGCTCTTCCTGCTATCATTTTTCACAGTGTTCATGCAGTTTTTCTCCCTTTCATGCCTCGGTTTAGCAGCTAAAGGGAAGCACTCCAAAACAATATTGCAGTCTGTTCTGAAGTACTGTGAACCAGCTGTCGATCAGAGTTTGCCAAGCCAGTGCCATTTCTCTGTGTCCATCACTCTAGTATTGCTCTGTAATTCAAAAACAGGCCAGAGATGTCTTTAGTGGTTACAAAAGCATCCATCAAAATGAGACAGGTCTGTGTGTCTCTGAGGTGATGCTTGCAGACAGGCTGGGAGATCTCTGTCATGGGTGGGCATTCACCCCACAGCAGTGAAGCACTGCAGATTCAACCTTTGGGAGAGGAGGAACAACAGGGACTGGAGCTGTTTGAGTGTCTTGGATGGAAATGTGAGCTGAAGCTGATACACCTCTTTACAAAGCTCCTGTCAGAGGTACTCTCATGCTGTTTTCCTTCACTGTAAGATGCACCTTTTGAAGCTTCCACAGAGTAAAAGGAGTGGATGGGGAGGTTGCACTATACTTCCCCTGCTGTCTTTGTCTTCAGCATCTTGGAAGAGAGATTCCCTTTGACATTTGTCTTTTCTGACATCATGCAGTCTCAAGTTGTGTATATGAATGCACAAAGCTTTGAAGCAGGCAAAGGGCTTCTCATTGACCTGCTTGGTGGGGCAGCCAGACTTCTGTGAGGAGGCTCCAGCCATCCCTCATGCTTAGGTAACACTAGAAGGGCTTCTCTGTAGTGGCTGTTTAGTGACATTTTTGATCTTGGGTCCAGGTCTGCTGACATCAGAGTGTGAGAGCCTGGAAAAAGGAGAGGGGATGGTGGTTTTAGTTTGGTTTGCTTTCTCACTATGCTAGTCAGTTTTTGATTAACAATAAAATCTTCACCAATTCGAGTCTGCTTTGCCTACAACAATAAGTGGGGTTTGAATTTCTCTAGGCATCAGTGTTTTCAATAAAAAATATTATAATGATGAGGACAACATTTTTTGCCTATTTCATAACCAGGTGTGAGATATCAACTAAGGAGCTGCTGGCAGTCCTATCAGCAAAAGCTGCTGAAAAAGCTTTTGTTTTGCAGGGAGCTGATGATATAACTTTATCAAGAAAACCCATCTAATGAGGATTATCAGACATGAATAGTTATATTATGGCTTTATTATCCCTTCTCATCAGCCTTTCTTACAAGAACCCAGTTGGCACAGACTTGTTACCCAGGCCTGCTCACATTGACCATAAGAAGTCTGGGCAGCTCATCAGGAGATAAGGGACATGGGGGTCCTTTGAGGGCAGGAAGGTGCTGAGGACTTTTACTGGCACAGCTGCCACCCAAGGGAAGTAAACAAACCAGCCCAAGTACTAACATCACTATTTCCCTGGGGAAAGAAGAAAAAATGCACTTCTGAGGTGATATGACTGTGTTCACGGGTAAATTCTTGCTGGACTAACTGCAAATTGCTCCTTTGGCTGAGACACTCAGAGCAGCAGAGTGGAATGCAGGAAATTCTGG